TAATAGAGATAACCAGCCCTACGCCTTGTAATCGAATTGTGTTCCTCTCCATTCGCGATTTGAAGCAACAGTCCATACAATGGGCCAAAAAGAACGGAAAGAAGATAACCCTGGAAAGAATTTAACAAGAGTGCCTATAGCTCCTCATTCGCCGCCCCTCTCCATTATACAGAGTGAACGCCCAGGCTATAACTCCAAAAGAAGATTCTATATCACCTGATTACCTACACCTAATTAAACAGTCCCTAGTCTCACCTACTCAAGGTGTGCCTCACCACATAACAAAGAAAACAGAATTTCCGGAGATGAGGCCCAGAAGTCAGGATTTTAAAAAGATTCCCAGGTGATTCTAATGTGCAGCCAAAGGTTGAGAACCGCTGGTCTAGAGCAGTGATTGGCAAACTGCAGCCCCTTGAGTGTGGCCCTTCCACAAAATACCACGTGCGAGCGCACACGTATAGGGCGATTTGAAACTTCATGGCCACACTCAAGGGGCCAAAGAGCCGCATGTGGCTCGCGAGCCGCAGTTTGCCGACTACTGGTCTAGAGGATGAGGAGTGGGCGGTGTCCACCAGCCACTGTGGGCGTTACATGGGGGGATGTCTCCTGCGCCGGGCCACCAGTGCCTGGTGCCTGGTCAGTGGTCATCAAAGTTGAATATCATTGCCCTAGCCGGTTTGGCTTGGTGGATAGAGCATCGGCCTGCGGACTGAAAGGTCCCAGGTTCGATTCCGGTCAAGGGCATGTACCTTGGTTGCAGGCACATCCCCAGTAGGGAGTGTGCAGGAGGCAGCTGATCGATGTTTCTCTCTCATCGATGTTTCTAACTCTCTATCTCTCTCCCTTCCTCTCTGTAAAAAATCAATAAAATATATGTTTTTAAAAAGTTGAATATCATTAAATTTTCCCTTTTATCAGTGGCTGCTTCAGAGTCCTGGTTGCAGAGTCTGGTAACTAGGGGTTTTCTGACATAGTTCTCTGCAGGCCCAGTGAGCTTCTGTTGACTAACTAAAGGAAAACCACCACTGCTCCTCCGACAGCGACTGCTCTAAGAGGAGCTATCGCAAGCACCGGGCACTGTTCCAGAAGCTTTGAAAATTGGGCCTCACTTTATCTTGTAACTACGTGATGAGGGAGATGTTATTGCGCCCATTTTACAGATGAGGAAAAGAGGTTTAGAGAGGGCAAGCAACCTGCCCAGGGTGGCACTGCTAGCGGCAGAGCAGGGCTTAGACCAGGCCAGTTCGACTCCAAAGCCCTTGTCCATTCTGCCGTACGACATTGCTCTTCAGAGAATCCATGCCCCCCTGCCCACCTGGGGAACAAAGGCCAAACCAGCCCCTGGCCCTGGGAAGAGACACGTCTGTGACCGTGTGGAAGTCCAGATGTCGAGCTGTCACCACTCAGCCCTCATTACTTCATTTGGGTTAAGAAAATCAGTATTCGTAATTCAAAGTTTGTCTTTAAAAATCAAATGTTTATTAACCTCCTGCCATGTGCTTAGCATTGTGGAGGTGCCATGAAAGAAGCAGAAGTATCAAATATGAAGTTTATAGTCTAGTGGCAGAAATGGGACCAGCACATTTGAAACAATAAAGGGCATCTTTAAATCGGTAGCATCTCTCCAGCTGTTGAACTTCAGTCATGTAGTATTGTAGAACTTCAGTCATGAACACTGGAACATGAACAGAAAGACCAGCCAGTCAAAAGGTAAAAAATATAGAAATAGGCCCAAACACTGAAGAGAAGTTACTATCAAATAAAGTGGCATTTCAATTCATTGGAGAAAAATAGCTAAATTCCTCCTTCACCCTTCACTCCAAATTAAAATTCAGACAAAACCAAAATTAAGCAAAAAATTCTTAAGTTATGAAAGTACTAGAAAAAAACAAAGGAGTTTTTGTTTGGTTGGGTTTGGTAATCTTGTAGTAGGTATATCCTTTTCTAAGCAAAACACCGAAAGCCATAAGGGAAAATCTGATAAATTTGACCACTTTAAAATTTCTACATGTCAAAAACATCATAAAAACAATCAAATACGTGTCTGAAAAAGCAGAGTCAAATGACAAATGAAAAACATTTAATAACAACTGAATGACAAATATCTATTTTTATAAAGATATCTCATAATTTAATAAGACAAAATGTGCAAAGGTCATTGAAAGACAGTTAACAGAAAAGGACACACAAATGAGTTATAAACAATGAAAAGATGATGGACCGCACAATGAACACGGATATAACAGATAGAGCATTTTTACTGTGATAAAGTACATACAACAGAACTTATGCATATAAGCACTTCTAGTGCACACTTCACTGCCCTTAAGTACGTCCATATTGTGCAACCACCACCACTATCCGTTTCCAGAGTTCTTTTCATCTTACAAAACTGCAACTCCACACCCATTAAACAATAGCCCTCCATTCCCAGCCCCCAGTAACCAGCGTTCAAATTGCTGTCTCTTCGAACTTGAGTACTTTAGATACTACATGTGAGTGGAATCATGTAGTATTTGTCTTTTTATGAGTAGCTTATTTCACTTCGTATAATGCCCTCAAGGTTCATCAATGTTGTAGTGTAATGCAGAACTCCCTTCCTTGTCAAAGCTGAATAATATTCTATTTATGCATATACCACATTCTGTTTATCCATTCATTCATCAATGGGCACTTGGGCTGCTTCTACATTCTAGCTATTGTGAATAATGCTATGAACATGGCTGAACATATATCTTTTTGAGATACTTTTTTTCAAATATTTTTAGTATATACCTAGATGTGGAATTATTGGATCATATGGTAATTTCCATTTTTAATTTTTTGAGGACCTGCCATAGTGTTTTCCCCAGCAGTGACGCCATTTTACTTTCCATCAACAGTGCACAAGGGTTGTAATTTCTCCACTCTTTGCCAACACTTGCTATTTTCCTGTGTTTTTTTAATGTGTATTTTTTTATTGTTGATAGTATTATAGATGTCTCCCCTTCCACCCCCTTTTATCCCCTATCCTCCCAGCCCCAACCCACCCACCCCCAGGTCTTCATCCCCTATTGCCCTTGTCGATGGGCTATGCATATCCTATATAATAAAAAAGCCTAATATGCTAAGGTGTCCAGTCATCTGGTCATCCGTTCAACCAATCAAAGCATAATATGCTAATGATATGCTAAGGGCCGCTCAACCGCACGCTATGACGTGTACTGACTACCAGGGGGCAGACAGTCAACCATTTCGAACAGTTGCTATGACGTGTACTGACCACCAGGTGAGTAGACCAGCCATGGCAAACTACGGCCCGTGGGCCGGATCCGGCCCGTTTGAAATGAATAAAACTAAAAAAAAAAAAAAAGACGGTACCCCTTTTATGTAATGATGTTTACTTTGAATTTATATTAGTTCACACAAACACTCCATCCATGCTTTTGTTTCCGGGCCTCCGGTCCAGTTTAAGAACCCATTGTGGCCCTCGAGTCAAAAAGTTTGCCCACCCCTGGTGTAGATGCTCAAACTGGTAGGTTAGCTTGCTGCTGGGGTGCAGCCGATAGGGACTGAGCAAGACGGTCCAGACACACCCTGGGACCCTCTTACGGTCCTCCCCAGCTGGCCAACCTCCTATGTCCCTCCCAGCCCCGATCATGCACCAGTGGGGTTGGTGGCCCTCCTGCGCCCTCTCACAATCCAGGACCC